GACAAATAAAACGAATGTTAATCAATAGGAATGAAAATCAATGTTTACGAGAAGAGAGATTCTTTTTTCCAGAACCATTGAAGAAGCCGCTCAATGAGGATCGTCTGGATGGTGGTTATTATGGCTTTATTAAAGAGTGGGAGGAGAAAAACAAACCATTTTTATTGTTTTGGAAAAAAATAAATAAGAAGGTTTCCACTAGTGATAAAGTAGAACAAGCAGCAAATGGAATCATCTTCGAAGGAAATCGACTAGGCGAAAACTGTGAATCCCAGTGGATTGCCAAACAATTGCGAACTGTGAAAAATAAAGACATAGAAGAAATTCGCAAGTGTTGCATTAATCTCTATACCAAAGAATGTTTCCTATACAAATTAGTTAATAAAGCACTGAGAGAAAATGATACAACCAAAGTAGACACGCTCGCTCCATGTTGCTACTTTCTATTCGATTCGTGATCAAATAAGTCCAGAAACCAATATAAAATGGAAGTCTACCGTGGTGCTACACTTGATTCAGAAATAATTGCGTGTTATGAAGAAGCCATTGGCACATACAAGTGTTGGTATAGATTTTCTTCAACAAGCAAAAATCGTCATAAAGCAGAAACGTTTGGAAATACGTTATTTATCATGGATCTAACAAAGACTAAAGCAGGTGGCTTTGATATATCATCATATTCATGTTACCCACATGAAGAGGAAGTCTTACTTCCTGCTGGAACAGAGTTTAAAATTATTACGGTTCAATCCGACGCAGAAAACAATAAACATCGTATTTATTTAACTATTATAAATGACCTGGACAATGAATACCTCTCTGATTTATCCCAAAAACAATTATCAGCAGAAGACGCACGCGCAGTAGCTAATGCGTTGAAGATCAATCAAAAACTGACTTGGCTGGATATTTCGAGTACAAAGCTGTAACTAGATTTTCTATTGCTGGAGGAAAATTTGACATGGTTTGATTTGAGAGCAAATGCGCTGCTCTTGAAGACAAGATTTATCGTGGATACTTTGAAACTCATCGTCACTGTTGGTACAGGGCTGGTATTTTACTTTCACAAATCATCGTTTGAACTGCTCAAATTTGACTGAATACATCATCGAATTGAGCTTCGCTGCTCCCTGAAGTGTTCATCGCGCACGTTTCCTATTAATTGCTTATTCTTTGAAAACAAAAGAGTTTGTTTATTCCTTTGTCATCTGCCATTGACTTTTAACATCACTTATAAAACAACGAGACAAGAGTCAGTTAGTAGAATCGCAACTCTACTTCAAGAAGGTCCTGAATGAAGCACTACAAATAGACATTTAAAAGCTTTATACATAGAGCTATGAGCCTGTCCGTTTCAACTCCTATATCAGGTTCATCTATTCATAAATCTACAGTGACAGAATTCTCTGTCACCGACAGTATCATTTTTGTTTATTAGGCGAAAGTGTTGAATAGTGTTGGAATATCGAACCAGGTGACGTCCCAAATGATCCATCCCAAATGATTTATTAAGGACAAATCCCTTATTTGAAATGCTCTGCAGTGAAAGTGTTAACAAAGTTGGCTTTCTCTATCTTTTTGCTCAACTGGTCTGTAACACGAGTAAGTTTTCAATTTTTACAGTATGAAGAGCCGAACGGTATTTGATTAATTTCAATACTTAAGGGTTTTGAGCAATGTTCTGTCCGATGGCTAATTTGAAATAATTTTTAAAGTGCCGAGAGTAGGGATTTCAGAAAATCAAGGTTTTACACCCATCCATTTACATAAAATAATTTATTTTTGAGTTTTCTACTACGCGTCTACTCAGAACCGAATTACTTTTTATGTAGAAAGATAGAGAAGTTTTCGCACTACAAAAGGAGACGTTGTCGAGTTCTAAGCGACATTTTTTCATGAAACAACATTCAGTTTATAAAATGGCGTGAGGGAATGTCTTTCTCGTTCTGTCGTTAATTTTGTAGGTAGGCCACCTTTTGTAAATTGAATGCTGTTTCATGGAAAATTATCCCCCAGAGTTTGACGACATCTTGTTTTGTTTAGAAATGTGTATTCTACACGACTGGATTATCTATAAAGAATTTCCTGACCGCATTCCGGGATTTAACTTTTTGACATTTTGGTTATCCAGAGTTCCTGTCTTTAGAAATTTTGATAGAACCTATCAGGACCCATCACATCAGCTAGAACATTCTTTCGGCTATTTAAAGCTTTTTTCAGATTTTTTCTTCCTTTTATGTTAAGGAGAAATACATAAAACACATCGTTTCTATAATCTTGTCCAGTAATCCAGGTGAAAACGATGATATTTTTCTAGTATTTTGACAATTCCTATATGGGCATAGTTTTAGAAAGCTTATTTATCGCTCATTTTGTAGCGTAGAGAATTCTTTACCTGTTTGTATATGAGTTCTTGTCAAATGATTCTGAAATTACATGGAAACTTTGAGAAACAAACTGAGTGCCCTTTGTTTAAATGATGACGAAAAATGAGAAGAAAGTGTATTTTCAAGGAAAAGAAGGAGCACTTTTTGAGCGTGGGAAGTTTTGGGAAGTGAAAACGTATTACCATCATTTTCGTTTCCCATCCTTTCTTTATACATAAGCAGTTTTTGTACACTTGCTTATGATATATACGATACCCTCCATAGTTAGAATGAGTACACTGGTATAAGGAGTAACACGATTAAATTGTTTTAAGACCGACCACTCAGAAATTATCTCCGACTACGTACATCCGATCTTGGCCAAATTTTCTATAAATGTTAGATTTAATGAGTTACGGGAAAAAATTTAAGTGAAAAATTTTTCTTCTTCAAGTCTCACGGTTTAGCAGTTTTCCAGAGTTCAAGGTCCAAAAAGACCCTAAAGTTTTTACAAAAGTTTTTTAGTATACTTCAAGCTGTAGACTTCGGGTTTGTTTTATTTTAAACTAAATACCTAACTACATGGACTGACAGCCGCCGATTTTTCAGTTAAGCCTTTATTGATTTTCCAGGCAACCAGCAACCTCTAAAACCCGAAAAATCTTTGCGGGTTTTCTATAAATCCTCAATTTGACAAAAAACTAAGACCTAATTCAAAAATAGGCGCTGGTCAGTCCATATAGCTTTTAAACAAAAAAAGAATAAATTCTCTACGCCAAACCACTATTAAAAATCTTGGGAAATACTTCAGGTGTAACTTTTATATAGAGAAACGCTGTATTAAACGTTGTATAAAATACTCCATTCCAGGACCTATAGGAAAATGCCCATAGCTTTTTAATTCAAGGTCATCCGGAGCTGTGCAAGGCCTTATTTTGATCAGAAAAGTTTGCTCTATAAATCTGCAGGTTCAAAAGAATTTTAATTGTATAAATATCCATGAAAAACCTATATGGTGATGACCCGCTCTTTCGAAGCTCCTAGAAAACTTGCGAAAAATCACTTCTGTAACCAAAAGCAGTACAGATTCTAGAAGTAGACATTCCAGGCTATCTTTCCATGTGCATATTTCAAAGCCCATTTTTTGACCGAAAATCACCATTTCCGGACCCTCGAATCGATCGAGCATCTTCATTGAGAAAAATATCACTACTTTATTCTAAAAGAAAAACACATACTCCGCCACTCCGAACCATTGTACGAAGTGTCGGAGTGCGGTGGAGTGTGCTTTAGTCCGCGGAGTAGTTAGAGTGACGGAGTGCGCTTTTTCCCCCTTGGGAGAAGAATCTTAGCTTCACCTAACAATAGAAAGTTCATTACTCATTCAAAATTAGCCGAAAATTGCACATTCAACTGTAGCATGGACTAAACATAAAGAATAATCGTTTCTGACTCCAACTATTTCCTGAAAACCTTTCGAAAAGTTGAGCACAATTTTCTTGAAATTGTGCCGAGTTTCTTAATCAAAAGGGTATTGAGTAACTCAAACATAGCATATTCTGCAATTTTCAGGTAATTCTGATCGGTTTCAAATGAATTATGCTCTGTTTATTGTTAGGTGGGAATACCCTAGATAGTCTAGTTTCGGTATAATATGCAATTAGCAAACGGCAGATTGGCCTGCTGGACTAGGCCCTGATAGGATGGCTGAAAGTTGTGATGACCGCAACTATCAGCTTTTTGTTCCTTGTTGCAGCGATGCTGGCTAGTAATACCAGTATCGAAAACTGACAAAAAAGACACCATTTGAGATGGTATTACGTCAGCAATCTCGGTCTGAGAAAGATTTTTGGAAACGTATTCAACAACAAATGAAAGAAAATGATGATAATAACTAGCCTATACCTGATATTGAAAAAGGAATTATGTTCGAAGAAAAGTTGCCACTAGATGCAGTAGCATTATTTGTGTTCGAATAAACGAATAAAGTCATTTTATTTAATTTTGAGATGATCGTCGAAAATAACAGAGTCGATTCAGTCCATCCAATACCTTTTGGGCTTTTGTTTAGCAAAAACTGTTTTGATCTTTTAAAGAGTCATTCCTCCTTACGAAGTCCCGAGTGGATGTCCATTACACTGGCGAAGAAAATTGATGCTGGACGTTCACCCTTCTATCAGATCGATGTGTTCATCGTAGTGGCTAGATGATAAAGGGTGTCATAGGTTATCTTAGACTTTTTGCACATAGGAGATTATTTTCCACAGACGGAAGTATACTTGGCCTCAGAACGACTATTTCCGTATATCTGATATACAGAAATATAGCGCAAGAAGAAGAGTTTTCAAATGACATATGATAGTTCTACCCATGTAATCGTTTGCGTTCGGAAAAACGCGTTTGAACGCTAGTTTTTTGAAAATTTTGAGAAAAAACGCGTTTGAACGTTGTTTTGGGCGTTTAAATCTACGTTTAAACGCGTTTTGTAAAAATCTGCGTTTGAGTCGAACGCGTTTAAACGCCATAATGTGTGAGGAGCGTTTGAACGTTTTTTTTCATGCATTCTTGTTAAGCGTTTGAAGGCGTTTAACTATTAAAGGCGTTTAAACGCCGAAGAAATTGAATACTCTGAACGCGTTTAATTTTTTGAACGCGTTTTAAGGCGTTTCGATTTTATTAGACGTTTGAACGCTGTTCTGAAACAAGTTACAAGGGCGT